TGAGCAAGTGCCCAAATCAGTTTAAGACCAGAGAAGGAAAGTGTAACTTTTAAATCCAAGCTACTATGGGACATAAAAGACTTTTTTCTCTTTTATTGTGCTCTGAGATTCTGCTCTTTCAGTAAGTTCCTCCCTAATGCTAAAGAACAGGAGAGATTTGGAAGACAGAAAGAAATAAAGAGAAGGGAAGAGGCTATCCCTCCTTCAAGCAGATGTCATTGGATGAATAGAGAGATGTAAAGTTAATCTCATTCTCCCACCAGTCCTTGAGAGTCACCCTCTTCCGCATTGCTTGTGGAAATGGTTGGTAGAGTATATCTTAAGATGCCAGTGAGATACAACATGTTTTAAGGACACTATGAGAACTTGTTTGTAAAATATATTTCTGAATTAGATATAATGAATATATTCTATAGAAAACTCTATCAATTAAAGTTTATTCTCATTTTCACATCTTTTTTAAAATGATGTTTAATATTTTATTATAGTTTTTTTTTTTTGTGTGTGTGTGTGTGTATGTGTGTGGTGCTGAGGATTGAACCCAGGGCCTTGTGCTTATGAGGCAAGCACTCTACCAACTGAGCCAAATCTTCCAGCCCATCATTTTCACATCTTTATACGTAGTGTTTTTAAATTATAAAAAAGTAGACACCCCATTTACACATTATATTAACTATGTTCAGTTTGGTCCTTATGGTTGTTAAAATTAACAAAATCATGACTTCAATATTTTATAACTCTGAAGAAAATATAAAAATTTAAATATATTAAAATGAATGTGTGGAACTGAGGAAAGCTTGAGATAATTAAAGGCAGCTGACCAGGGTGTAAGTTTGGATATAAAAGTGGGTACCTTATTGTCTACAGGCAGTGGCAATAGAAATCATTTTTTTAAAATGTGTTTCTTTTTTAAATTATTTTTTAGTTGGAGTTAGACACAATACCTTTATTTTATTTATTTTTATGTGGTGCTGAGGATTGAACCCAGGGCCTCTCACATGCTAGGCAAGTGCTCTACTGATGAGCCACAACCCCAGCCCCTTAAATGTGTTTTTTAAAATTTGTTTTCTGTATCCGAACCTGGCCTGATTACCAACTGGGGGAATAGGAAAATTGTCTCCAGAGGGAAACATAAAATATAACACGTTTGTCTATAGCATCTAACATAAAACCTTCTAATGAAATGACAGATTCTCAAATATTGGTAAAAACAACAACAACAACAACAAAAAGAACAGGAGAGAGAGATAGAAGAGATCTGGAAAGGCTAGCTGTGCTAGGTCCTCAACCTTTTGAGGATCCTTAAGCGGTCTGCATTCTATTTTGGAATAACACAGCAGGTATTACCCCAAATCACTGAGATTCAGCTTCAGGAAGCCGATAGGATAAACCTGGAAATATCAGGGGACACCCTGCTACTGGAGGGGTTTCCTCTTCTCTCCTCAAAAGTTGGGCATAGGGAAGGAAAATTGAAAGATCCCATATGTACAAATTTTCTTTACCTTGAGAACCTTTTTCTTTAGGAATTCATGAGCTCCCATGTCCTTTAAATACCTGGACTGACTCTATTCTGATCCAAAAGTGATCTCTGGTCTGATGGAGATGTTCTGCATGCTTCTTTACTAGAGTAATTATGGCCATGAACTTGTGCTCTTTTTTTTTTTTTAAGCTCATACTTTTTGTGGTAAAGTCACATTTTTTAAAATTTATTTTTTAGTTTTAGGTTGGCACAATGTCTTTATTTTATATTTATGTGGTTCTGAGGATTGAACCCAGTTCCTCATGCATGCTAGGCGAGCGCTCTACCACTGAGCCACAACCCAGCCCCCCCCGCCCCCGCCATTTTGTTCTGCTTAGTCTTGTTTTGTCTAATGTAGAGTTTTTATTTTTAGCTCTATCTGTTTTTTCTTCTGTCTTTTCAGAGGCCAATTATTCAAGGGAAAGCTCAAAAATTTTTGTTTTTTGTCAGTTTTTAATGTATATTTATGTGCAACTGTATAGCATATGTTTTGGTCCCAAAATTAGCATATAGATAAATGAGTGCTCATAAGTTAAATTTTAAAAAAGAAAGAAATGGATCCAAGTGTCTTTTAGGTCACATGACTTAAGCCTTTAAGAAAAAGTTCAATTTAAATTGGCTAACCAGATAAGATTAAAGATGTTTTTCTAAGTGGTCAGGAATTCAGTAAAGTGCCAATTCCTATAAAATGTTTGAAGTATAATGTCCATTGCTTCTAGTCTTTTTCTTGAGCAGGGAAAAGATGACTTATACTGTTAACTACACGAGTCTGATATTCTGGTTTTCATGGGTAACCTAAAGCTAATAGTTAAAAAAAAATGAATAAATTAGATTAATATAAATGGGATTAGGGCTGGGATTGCAGCTCAGTGGTAGAGCACTTGCCTCGCATACATGAGACCCTGGGTTCAATCCTCAGCACCACATAAAAAATAAATAAATAAAAATAAAGATATTGTGTCCATCTACAACTAAAAAATACATATATTAAATAAATGGGATTAATCTTCATGAATGTGGGGGGGGTTTGCTTTCATAAATGAGGGATGATTTCCTTCTTTTTTTTGTTTTAATTAGTTACACATGACAGTACAATGATCTTGACATATCATACATTTGAATCAGATGGGATATAAATGTGTTTTTGTTAGAGGAGACTTCTTTTTTTTGTTTTAATTAGTTACACATGACAGTACAATGATCTTGACATATCATACATTTGAATCAGATGGGATATAAATGTGTTTTTGTTAGAGGAGACCTCCGATTAAATTGCAAAGTTAAAATTACTACTAAAACATCAACTGCTAAATATAAATTCAAGTACTCTTTAGGATTACTTTGTTTCTGGGTCTTTAGTGAAAACAAGGTTACTAAAATTCTAGCAGGTGTAATTTTATATGCAAAGAATACAAAATGTTTCAGCTGTGTTTCAATTAAAGTATTATAAATAGCATAATATATTTCATCTTATTAGGAGTAATTGGAAAAATTCAGAAATTTCATAAGGATTGTTTCAGAATGTAAATTTAAGAAAAGGTCAGCAACTAGAAAAGAAATACAAGAAACTTCTAAGTATGGAACTAATATATTTGTCCAAGTTTTGTCTAAGTACTATGTAAAAGATTGTATTATTACAAAAATGAGATGCATTTATACATCAGATAATAAGTCTATTTTTGATCATCAACACAGTTTCCTAAACATACAAGAGATTTAAAGTTATACTTTGATTTCTGTCACTGCCACTAACCTATGCAGACCTGTGGTTACAGTTACCCTATACTAAGGATTATAAATTTTTCTTTAAAAGTTAAACTTGGGCTAGGTACAGTGGTGCACACCTATAATCCCAGTGGCTTGGGAGGCTGAGGCAGGAGGATTGCAAGTTCAAAGCCAGTGGATGAAAGTGTTTAGATGTAAAATCATATTTAAAAGCCTGGGGTTCCTCAATGTGGAAAGAGAAAATTAAACACAAGTATACAGTGAAACATTTTTCAACAAAACTAACTTAAGCTTTGAAATTAGAAGTTCTGATTATAGGTTGAAGAAGTTTTCCTTTTGTACTTTGTTCCAATCCTTCAGTTTCCAAATGAATTTGACCTCCTAAAATATAAATTTTAAGAGAACAGGGGACTTTGTTTTCTTTCCTGGGGTATCCCTAGCACCTAGAGCAATGCTTGGCACATAATAAAGATGTATTGGATAAATTATGTAAGCTGTTCATAAAATTAATGATAGCCTTTTCTGATATTATGGGTATTTTTAGTTATAGGTGGACACAATATCTTTATTTCACTTCTATGTAGTACTGAGGTTTGAACCTCACGTGTGCTAGGGGAATACTCTAACACTGAGCCACAACCCCAGCCCCTAAATTTGGCATCCTATAATTTGAGATTAAAAATTTCTTCCTAAATAATAGGTTAGTAACCTCAAACACAAATTTTAGAATAGCAAGACAATTGTTATTTACTTTGACCCATTTCTGATATTTGAAATTTTAAAAAATCAAGACCAGCAGCAAAATTGCTATAACATCTTGTATATAACCTGTCATTTCCCATTTTAAAATCATACATCTCTGGTGAACTGAAGATGACAGAGATTCAGAATAACTGTCAAGCATCTCTAAGCTTTTCAAGTTGATATTTTGGAGATCATCTATAATATCCACAAAATATATCTTAGAATCTCTACTAGAGATATAAATAGATGAAATGGATCAAGTTATATATATATTTTCCTTTCTCCTTCCCCTCTCCTCCTCCTCTTCTACTTCTCTTCCTCCTCTTCCTCCTCCTCTTCTTCTTCCCTTCCTCCTCCCCCTCTTCCTCCTCCTCCTCCTCCTCCTCCTTTCCCTACCCTTTTTATTTTTAGATAGTCTTGGTAAGTTGTTGAGGCTGGCCTGGAACTTGTGATCCTCCTGCCTCACTGCCTCAGCTTCCTGAGCATCTGGGATTACAGGGGTGTGTGTGTGTGTGTGTGTGTATATATATATATATATATATATATATATATAAATTTCTTATTTCCTAAAAAATATATCTACTGGTTCTGGGGTTGTGGCTCAGTTGTGAGGATTTGCCTAGCATATGAGAGGCACTGGGTTCAATCCTCAGCATTGCATATAAAAAAATATAAAGGTCTATTGACAACTAAAAAATACACATTTAAAAATAATCTGTTTTTGCTATCTTAAAATTTTTAAGTTGTAGAAGGATACAATACCTTTACTTTATTTCATTTTTTATGTGGTGCTGAGGATTGAACCCAGTGCCTCACACATGCACTGAGCCACACTGAGCCACAACCCCAGCCCCTGTTTTTGCTATCTTAAACAAGTTTCCATCCCACAGAACTTCTATAAGAATGCTTTAAAGCATATGATCTGATAAATATGAATATACTTCTAGGCAATGAGGGGGAGTGTTTGAAATCAGAACTGTACCAGAAAACTGGATATGATAATTACATCTACCTGGCATGCTGGATCAGGCTATAGGCAATGTACTTGCGGAACAGGTATCCCAGCCGAATATTGTTCCTATGAAGTGTCTCAATTATGAGATTCCTAGCCATTGTATGTTGCTGCGAAGGGAGTCCAGAAGTTTTTGTGGCCTGATTTAATAGTATCAGATTCTTCCTCTGAGCCTCTACATCAACAAAATATCTCTTTTCTTCAAGCTCTTGGGGAGAGGAAGGGGGCACTGTCACCTTTGGTTTCTTGATGCCTAAAACTGAAGGCAGAATCCAGGGCTTGTCTATAGGAGGGAATCGAGATTTCTGGTCCCACTGAGCAGGTAAGATCTGTGATATTTTGGGTAGTTGAGTTATTAGAGAAGGTAGTGACATTTGAGGTTTCATGAGAGGTGGAAAGGCCTGCCCATCAATGTGAGGGGTTTGCAATATTGGTATCCTATAATTGGTGAGATGGGACTGAAATGTTTCAAATGGTCCCATGGCAGAAGTATCTTGGAGCATCTTGGTTTCTTCAGAAGTGTCAGAGACCTCTGATATTTGGGCCTTCTTAGTGGTGAAAGGAGCTTGAGATACCTTAGAATCTGGAGCACTTGGATGAACCAAAGCTGGTTTAGATTTCAAAGAAGAAATAATTGCTGATCTTTTCTGAGCAACAGAAGAGGACAAAACTCCCTGGGGCTTTTCAGGGGCTGTTGGAGGCCAGAATGTGGAAGGATGTCTGGGAGTGGAAGGGACCCATAGTGGTGAAACTTGCCCGGGAATAATCCATGGTGCCAGTTGCTGCCCAAAGAGAGAAGAGGTCTGCAGATAGGGAGAGGGCTCAGGGGTGGCAGAAGGCCAGAGTGCCTGGGGCTGCTCCAAAAAGCTGGGTCCAGATTCCTGAAGCTCCCTGGGGATGGAAGAGGCTTCAGGAACCAAGGGCTTTCCAGGAGACAGAGGATCCCGGAGTTTGGGGATCTGTCCAAAGGTGGATGGGAGTCTTGATATAAGAGGTTGCCTGGGAGTGACAGGGGTCTGCAATATCAGAGGTGGCCGGGGAGTCAGAAGGCCCCTAGATATGAAGAACTGCCTAGAACTAAGGGCCTCCTGTTCAAGGGGCTGTCCTGGAATGGGAGGGACCCAAGATATTGGGAGTTTCCCAAGATTGGGAGAGATCTCTGGTGCTGCAGACTGTGCAGGAATGAATTGACCTTTACCTACCAGAATCTGTTTAGAGGTAGGAAAGATTTGTGGTGCCAAGAGCTTTCCTGGGCCAGAAGGAATATGCATTCCTTGGCCTTTCCTAGGACTGCCAGGGCTTGGAGATAGTCTTGATGGAATGGATTGTTTAGTGGGGAAAAAAGTCTTCAATTCATGAAATGGTCTAAGAGTGGAAGGAGCCAATGTGGAGAGCTTTTCCAGGGTGAGAGGAGTGCCAAGTGCCTGGGCCGGCTGGAGGGAGGGAGTGACCCTCAATGCATGGAACTGCTCCAGGCTAATAATGTTTGATGCCCCTTGAAACTTTTCTGGAGTGATAGAAACCCTCAATTTTCTGGCCTGTTCTTCAGTAAGAGGGACTTCTAATGCCTGTGCTAGCTTGGGGGTGTGGGTGATGCCTACTGCCTGACCAGAAGGGAGAGGGGGCAGCAATGCCTGAACCTGCTCAGGAGTGAGAGTGGCACCAAATACCTGAGCTGATTGAGGGGAAAGAGTGACAGTTTGAGCATGGGCCTGCTGAAAGTTAAAACTAATCCCCAGGTCCTGTGCCTGCTGTGGAGTGAAAGGGACCCTCTGTGCCTGGGCCTGCTGAGGGGTGAGAGTGATCCCCTGTGCCAGCGGTTGCTGAGGGGTGGGAGTGAACCCCAAGTCTTGGGCCTGCTGAGGGGTGAGAGTGATCCCCTGTGCCTGAGCCTCCTCAGAGGTAAGAGTGAACCCCAAGTCTTGGGCCTGCTGAGGGCTGAGAGTGATCCCCTGTGCCAGGGCTTGCTGCAGGGTGAGAGTGAACCCCAAGTCTTGGGCCTGCTGAGGGGTGAGATTGATCCCCTGAACCTGGGCCTGCTGAGAGGTGAGAGTGATCCCCAGTACCTGTGCCTGCTCAGGGGTGAGAGTGATCCCCTTGGCCTGGGTCTGTTCAGGGGCTAGAGTAATCCCCAGTTTCTGGGCCTGCTCAGGGGTGAGAGTGATCCCCTTGGCCTGGGCCTGCTCAGTGGTGAGAGTGATCCCCAGTGTCTGGGCCTGCTGAGGGGTGAGAGTGATCCCCTGGGCCTGGGCCTGCTCAGGGGCAATAGTGATCCCCAATGCCTGGGCCTGCTGAGGGGTGAGAGTGATTCCCTGTGCCTGGACCTGCTGAGGGGTGAGAGTTATCCCCTTGGCCTGGGCCTGCTCAGGGGTGAGAGTGAACCCCAGTGCCTGGGTCAGCTCAGGGGTGAGGGTGATCCCCTTGGCCTGGGCATGCTCAGGAGTGAGAGTGAACCCCAGTGCCTGGGCCTGCTCAGGGGTGAGGTTGATCCCCTTGGCCTGGGCCTGCTCAGTGGTGAGAGTGATCCCCAGTGCCTGGGCCTGCTCAGGGGTGAGAGTGATCCCCTTGGCCTGGGTCAGCTCAGGAGAGAGAGTGATCCCCAGTGTCTGGGCCTGCTGAGGGGTGAGAGTGATCCCCTGGGCCTGGGCCTGCTCAGGGGCAATAGTGATCCCCAATGCCTGGACCTGCTGAGGGGTGAGAGTGATCCCCTTGGCCTGAGCATGCTCAGGTGTGATAGTGATCCCCAGTGCTTGGGCCTGCTCAGGGGTGAGGGTGATCCCCCGTGCCTGGGCCTGCTCAGGGGTGAGAGTGATCCCTAGTGCCTGGGCCTGCTCAGCGGTGAGAGTGGTTCCCAGTGCCTGGGCCTGCTGAGGGCTTAGAGTGATCCCCAGTTCCTGGGCCTGCTCAGGGGCTGTAGTGATCCCCATTTCCTGGGCCTGCTCAAGGGTGTGAGTGATACCCATTTCCTGGGCCTGCTGAGGGGTGAGAGTGATCCCCTGGGCTTGGGCCTGTGCCTGCTCAGGGTTGAGAGTGATCTCCAGTGCCTGGGCCTGCTTAGAGGTGAGTGTGATCCCCTTGGCCTGGGCCTGCTCAGGGTCAAGAGTGATCCCCTTGGCCTGGGTCTGTTCAGGGGCTAGAGTAATCCCCAGTGTCTGGGCCTGCTCTGGGGTGAGGATGATCCCCTTGGCCTGGGCCTGCTCAGTGGTGAGAGTGATCCCCAGTGCCTGGGCCTGCTCAGGGGTGAGAGTGATCCCCTTGGCCTGGGTCAGCTCAGGGGCGAGAGTGATCCCCTGGGCCTGGGCCTGCTCAGGGGCAATAGTGATCCCCAATGCCTGGGCCTGCTGAGGGGTGAGAGTGATTCCCTGTGCCTGGACCTGCTGAGGGGTGAGAGTGATCCCTTTGGCCTGGGCATGCTCAGGAGTGATAGTGATCCCCAGTGCCTGTTCCTGCTCAGTGGTGAGGGTGATCCCCCGTGCCTGGGCCTGCTCAGGGGTGAGAGTGATCCCTGGTTCCTGGGCCTGCTGAGGGGTGAGAGTGATCCCCTGGGCCTGGGCCTTCTCAGGGGCTAGAGTGATCCCCAGTGTCTGGGCCTGCTCCAGAGTGTGAGGGATCCCCACTTCCTGGGCCTGCTCAGGGGTGAGAGTGATCCCCTGGGCCTGGGCCTGGGCCTGATCAGGGGTGAGGGTGATCTCCAGTGCCTGGACCTGCTCAGGGGTGAGTGTGATCACCTTGGCCTTGGCCTGCTCAGGGATGAGAGTGATCCCCAGTGCCTGGGCCTGCTGAGGGGTGAGAGTGATCCCCTGGGCCTGGGCCTGCTGAGGGGTGAGAGTGATCCCCTGGGCCTGGGCCTGCTGAGGGGTGAGAGTGATCCCCAGTGCCTGGGCCTGCTGAGGGGTGAGAGTGATCCCCAGTGCCTGGGCCTGCTCAGGGGTGAGGGTGATACCCTCAGCCCTGGCCTGCTGAGGGGTGAGGGTGATCCCCGTGGCCTGTGCCTGCTCAGGGATGAGGGTGATCCCCTGTGTGTGGGCCTGCTGAGGGGTGAGAGTGGTCCCTTGTGCTTGGGCCTGTTTAGGGGTGAGAATGATCCCCTGGATCTGGGCCTGCTCTTGAGTCAGAGTGATGCCCAGTGCCTGTGCCTGCTCAGAGGTGAGAGTGATCCCTTGGGCTTGGGCTTGCTCAGGACTGAGAGTGATGTACTCTGTGAGAGACTCTTCAGAAGCAGGAAGGGTGCTGTTTAGGGAGGAACGTGTTGAGGTGGGAGGAGTGACTGGTATGGGACTCTGTCCTGCAGGAAGACTCTCTACTGTCTCAAGATTCTTTTGGATCTTTTGTTCTTCATATAGCTGAGATTCATGTTTCAATGTTCTCCTCCTTCTGGAATATGTCACTGGTCTTTGGATGGCCATTTCTGTTGGTTCTACAGATTTTTTCTTCTCAGTCTTATCCTTTTCTTTGAACTGCCTCTGCCTTTTGAAGTCTTCTGTCCCTCTGCTCTGTTTCTTGTCTTTCTCCCCTGTAATTACCAGATCTTGAATCTGCCCCATCATCTCTTCACTCTTCTTCTCCAAGGGCACCATTCGCTCTTTCGTCGTTTTCTTCCATACTTCCGACTGCTGCTGTTTGGATTGCTGCTGCACTTCTTTGTCCCTTTTCCTTTGATTTTCTTTCCCATCTTGCTCAATCCTCTTTTGAGTCCTCTGTTTTTTTCGTTCTTTCCCTACCTCTTCTTCCTGTTTCGGCTTCTGCAGCTCACGCATGCTGGATATTTTTTCTTGATCTTCTGGCAAATATTCCTTCTGCTTCTTTTTATCTTTCTCCTTGTAGTCTTCTCCTTCCAAGATTGTTGGAACATCTCTTTCTAATTCAGTCAATATAATTCGTATTAAATTGTTAATTATTGGGTCTGTGCTCTCATTTTCAAGAATTGAGCTAATCTCAGGTTTTGACTTCTGAAAATCTGGCATAAATGAGACAATCTTTTTTTGTTTCAAAGATTTCTCTTCAACTTGTCCTTCAGTTTTTATATTTTTGTATTTCCTCAAGATTTTAGTCACAGTTTCAGCCACTTTTTGGAAATATTCCTCTGTTTTTGCCTTTATAACTCCTAACTTTTCAACTTCTTCTTTTTTTAATAATTTCTCCTCCTTTAGCACACTCTCTGTACGAAAAGACTTTCCTATGTTATCAATTTTCTCTTTTAGGAAAGCCAGTATGGCTTTTTGAAATAATTCTAGGTTATCCTGTTCACTTTTGCCATCTGGACTTCCTAAATCCTCTTTAGCCATCTTGACCTTTGAGTGTGATTTAACAAGTAGTTGAACCTGGGTTTGTTTGATAAAGGATAGCAGTTCTTTCTCTTCTATTATTCCTTCTTTGCTTGTGGTCTGTCCTGGAAGGATTTGGTGTTTCTTTCCCTTTTTTTCAACTTTCTGGGGCTCAGAGGTGAAATCACTCTTAAACTGGATTGCCTCTGTTGATCTACTCATTTTGCTTTTGATCTCTTTGCCCACTGACTCACTAGAGGAGTATGATTTTATCTCTGAGGAAATTGGGCCTTTTTCAAGTTCTTGTTCAGGTCTGACCTTTCTGAATTGTTCCCCTGTACTCCTTGTTCCACTTCTGTCACCTTGGCTATTTGTTTCAGTAGAAGAGAAATGTTTGCTTTTTGTTTCAACAGATGGCTTTGATTTGCCTTGAGAAAAGGGTTTTCTTTCTTTTTTCTTTTTTTCCAGTGCTTCTAGCTCAAATCGTTGACGAGGTTTGTCCTCTGAGACTTTCTGTTCACCTTTACCATCAATCAGATTTAATTCAGAGGCCTCATGTGAGTACCTTCTTTTCTGTGATTCATGATAGTCAGTTTCATCTTTTTGATGGTCATCACCTTTTTTCAGTGATATATCATCTCCAGTAGTATCTTCATCAGGCTGTTCACTTAGCTCTGGGGTTGCTTCAGCTTGGGCTGTATATGAAAGAGCTGCCTCCCACTTTTTCCCAGTGCCTTTGGTTCCTTTTCTTTGGGATTCATCTAAAATATTTTCAAATTCTTTGCTTAAAATACTGTCCACAGTGTCCTCTATGTCATCAGCTTTGGTCGTGGATGACTGTTCAGATAATACTTTTAAGGTTGAAGATGTGGACAATGATGTGTACAGTTGTTGTCCAATAATAGCTTTGGATTTAATAAGTTGTTCAAATTTTTCTTCTATATCTTTAAGTCTCTGCTGAAGCATTTCATTTTGTTCACTGAGACTGTATATTATTTTCTGAGAGCGCTCTTTTTCTGCTTCTCTTGTTTCATTTTCGTACATACTGCCAACTGGGAAGTCAATGGCAGCCTTTAAATTGTCACTTAGTATACACAAGGCTTTAGAAAGGTTGACTATTGTTGATGATATATATTTAATAGCACTGTTTTCCAATTTATTGAACATTGTTGTGCCTATGAGTTCCTGTAGCATATCTTGAATTTCTGAAACCTTCGTATTTGTTGCAAATTGATCGCTAATCATCTGATCTGGTTTTAAGGCATGGGCTGTCGCAGGTCGTTTTACAACTCTATCTTTCCAAGATTTCCACAGAGTACTTCTAGATTCTGGAAGAATAAATACAACACAAAACAATGAAATTGCATTTCTCCTTTAATTGTGCTCTATTAATGTTTAAGCTTAAAGAATTTAGCCTAAATTGGTTCAGGGTTGTGGCTCAGTGGTAATTAAAAAAATAATTTAGCCTAAATTAATGGACAATGACAGGATAAATATTCCTCAGAAAGCGTTAGCTCCAAAATACAGCAATATTGTTTCAGAAAGATTTTTTTTTCCACAATCACCTAGAAATTCTACTTCCAGGGTGTGAAATATTAATTCTGTTGTGACCTCAACTTACTTTCAGTTACAACTTTGGAATTAGATAAAATATAAACTGAAACTTTTTTCTGGCTTTGGTTATGCTTAGTTCTTTTTTCTTTCTCTCTTTTATTTTTTATTTTTTTGGTGGTCCTAGGAGATTGAAGCCAGGGGTGCTCTATTACTGATATACACCCCTAGTCCAGAAGTAAGAGTGATCCCTTGTGATTGAATTTGTAATCTTCCTGCATTCAGCCTCCCAAGTTGTCAGTATTCAGGAGTGTGCCACCTCACCAGGCAGAACTAGTAGCAAGTTCTGTTATTACAGGGCTGGAGTCTTCTGGGAAAGTGAGGCAAACTCCCCATTCATACTAATTTTTGCACTCAAGTCAGGAAGATTTCATACATGTCACTCAGAGTAAAAGGGATGGGAAAGGAGAAAAGGGGACACTCTCAAGGAAGAGTATGGGTATTCTCAGAGAGGAGAGGGACTCCATTTTCTTTCTTGGGTTCTGTCTTTATTTTACCTTTTCTGAATCAAAGCTAAATTTGTTTCTTTTTTTTTTTTTTAGTTGTAGATGAACACAATGTCTTTATTTATTTATTTTTATGTGGTGCTGGGGATTGAACCCAGTGCTTCCCACATGATAGGCAAGTGCTCTACCACTGAGTCACATCCCCAGGCCCCTAACTTTAATTCTTTCAAAGGGCCATAAATCAACTGACAAACATTGAAGGAATTTCCAGAATGACTCAGTGATAAACTCAACAAAAATTTTCCCCTAAAAGCCATGATAAAACTGGACAAAGGTGTAAAAACAATCATTTTTGGACTTTATAAATTGACCAAAGATATACAACAAATTGAGATGCATTTATTCAAGAAAAAAAAAAAGTGGTGGTTTGGTAACCTGGAGCTGCTTCCATCCCCAACCACCCCAACCCCAGATCCATGGCCTCAAGTTCTACCAGAGTCAGGCCTACTGTGAGGACCAACAGCTCTACTGTCTAAGGGGATGACTTGATTTGAAGCTAAGGATCAGGTGGGAACAATGGCGGGTGATTGTCAAGCAATCCTTAAACTATACACAAATTTATTTGCAGAGAAGAGGGCTTATTGGGTCAGTGATTAGCAGATAATTTATTAACCAATAAGCTATACTGACCCAAGGATAACCATAGGAATTTGGGCTTAAAAAGACAAAAGAAAGGAGCAACAAAGAAGAACTGAGGGACTGGGGCTGTAGCTCAGTGGCAGCTAGGTTCAATCCTCAACACCACATTAAAAAAATAAATAAAACAAAGTTATAAAAATACATATTTAAAAATAAATAGATAAATAAATAAAAAGAACTAACTAGAGATGTTAGTGACTTCACATTGTGAGAGAGAGAGAGACTCCATAGAAGTAGTCCAAGCAAAAGTCACTAAAACATAAAACAAAGCAGCAATAACAAACCCTGGAATGGTAGGAGAATTAGAACCTAGAATTGCTACAATGTAATATCTAAAACACCTAGTTGTCAACATTAAAAAAAAAAAAGGAAAAGAAAATGCAAAGAAAAAGAAAACTGTGACATGTACAAAGGGGAAAAAAAGGGTCAATTAAAATTGTCTCTGAGAGGGCCCAGATGCTGGACTTACCACAAAAAAAAAAAAAAAAAAAAGACTTCAGAAAAAGCAATTATAGGGCTGGGGATATGGCTGGGCTGGGGATGTGGCTCAAGCGGTAGCGCGCTCGCCTGGCATGTGTGTGGCCCGGGTGTTTGATCCTCAGCACCACATGCAAATAAAGATGTTGTGCCCGCCGAAAAAAACTAAAAAATAAAAAAAAGAAAAGAAAAAGCAATTATAAATTTATGCAAAGAGTTTAGGAAACCATATTTAAAATAAAAGGAAAATATGGTAATAATTCTCATCAAATAAAGCATATCAATAAAGATATGGATTTCTCAGTGGCACACATCTATAATCCCAGCAACTCAGGAGGCTGAGGCAGGAGGATTTCAATTTTGAGGCTATTGAGACTCTATCACAAAATAAAAAATAAAAAGGCCTCTTTTGTAGCTCAGTAGTAAAGCACCCCAGGTTCAATCCCCAGTACCGCAAAAATAAATAAATGAAAATTTGAAAACCAAGTGAAAAATTTGGAGTTAAAAAGTACACTATTGGGGCTGGGGCTGGGGCTCAGCAGTAGCACACTTGCCTGGCATGTGTGAGGCACTGGGTTCGATTCTTAGCACCACATATAAGTAAATAAAATAAAGGTATTGTTTAAAAAATAAAATCTACACAATTAGCTGGGCATGGTGGTACATACCTGTAATTCCAGTGACTCATGAGGCTGAGATGGGAGGACCACAAGTTCAACCTTAGCAACTTAGCAAGACCCTCTTGCAAAGTCTCAAAAATAAAAAGGGCTGGGGATATAGCTCAGTGATAAAATGCCCCTGGGGTTCAATCCCCCACCCCAAAAAAAAGTACATAACTAAAATTAAAAATCACCAAAACACCTCAAAAGCATATTCATATTCATATTCAGCAAATATAATGCTTGACTAATTGAGATAATCCAATATGAAAGGCAGAGAAGAAAAAGAATGAAGTGACCAAAGCCACAGGGACTTGTGGGACACTATCTATTCAGGTTGCTATTAAAAATTACAAACTGGGGGGCTGGGGATGTGGCTCAAGCGGTAGAGCGCGCGCTCGCCTGGCATGCGTGCGGCCCGGGTTCTATCCTCAGTACCACATACAAACAAAGATGTTGTGTCCACCGAAAACTAAAAAATAAATATAAAAAAAAAAAAAACATTCTCTCTCTCTCTCTCTCTCTCTCTCTCTCTCTCTCTCTCTCTCTTTTAAAAAAATTACAAACTGGGTAGCTTATAACAACAGAAATGTATTTCTCAAAGTTCTGGAGGCCCGGAAGTCCATGCTCAAGTAAGAGTCGGTGTCTGTTAACAGCCTACTTCCTTATAGACAACTGCATTTTCACAACAACTTCACATGGTGAAAGAGGTAAAGGATCTCTCCTGAGCCTCTTTTGTAGGTTACTTATCCCATTCACAACCCTCTGACTCAGTCACTACCAAAGGCCCCAACCTTCTACTACTATCGTCTTGGGGGTTAAATTCCAGTGTAAGAATTTTGGAGGGACACAAATATTCAGACTATAGGGATAACCATCAAGCATACCAATGTACAAGTAACAGAAGTTCCAGAAGAAGAGGAGAGGAAAGTCACAGAAAAGAATTTTAAAAATTAAAAAGACAAAATCATCTCACAGTTGACGAAAAATATTTAATCTCCTAATTCAAGAAGCTCAGTGAACTCCTAAATAGGGTAACATATCTACATACCTCATACTCAAACTGTTGAAAGTCAAAGAGAAAATATTTAAACCAGAAAGAGAAAAAATTACTTATTCCCATCAAGGGAGACATATGAACTACAAAAGAACCACAGTAAATTTAGCAACTCACTTTTTATCAGACATAGTGGAGGCCAAAAGGCAGTAGAGTGACATGTTCAAAATGATGAAAGAAAAAGACTTAGCCAAGAATTCTACAGCTAGTAAAACTATTCTTCAAATAATGAAAATAAGAGCCAGGTGTGATGGTACATGTCTGGAACCCTGCACCCCAGCAACTCAGAAGGCTGAGGAAGGAGGATTACAAGTTTGAGGCCAGTCACAGTAACTTAGCCAGACTCTATCTCAAAATAAAAAGGGCTGGGACTATAATTCAGTGATAGAGCATCTCTGGGTTCAATCCCTAGTAACACATAGATATACGTACACACATAATAATAATAATAGAAACAAGATATACAGACAATATAATAAACATATGGAAAGATGTTCAACATCATGTTGAATTGCAAATTACAAAGAAAATTGGGAATTGCTTCTTGCTATAATGTGAGATGATATAATGTTTATGTGATAAGATAAAGGAAGGTGATGACTAAGCATATCATTCACTGTAACTTTTGCAGTTTGATGTATGAGAGCAAAACTAGCGTGAATTTTTTTTCTTTTATCATGATTCATAGATAGAAGATTCATTATTATATAGATCTTAGCAACCTCAGCATGTAATTATTATTCTTTCCTGACTAATTCAAGAACCTTGACCTTTTCACTTAAAGGAAAAATACTTTATAGCTTCTCTTTGGCATATCCAAATTACCAACATCAATTCCATTGTACTTTGAGGAGGAGGAGGAGGATGATGATGATGATGATGATGATGATGATTAAGCAAACATGACCTAAATAGGCTCAGTATTAAGTAAAATGAGGGTTACTTTAACCTAAGCACTATGATACTGTGACTTCAGTATGATTACCAACTAGGCGACCAAGTGACTTATGGGTGGATATATAGCAGAGATAAAGGGATGAGTTACAAAAGTAACTGAAACAGCAAAGCTACAGAGAAGTGGGATTACTGTATACGGCAATACCTAGAGCAAACACTAAGGAAATTACTCCAAAGGAAGAGTAAAAGAGTGGAAATAAATTGTTGTGTAAAAATTATCTGTTGAACACAGAAGGTGATAAATGAATAGAGGAACAATGTTTGGCATGGTGGTATATATCTATAATCCCAGCGTCCTAGGAGAATGAGGTAGGAAGATCAAAACTCAAAGCCAGCCTGGGCAATTTTTTTTTTTTAGAGAGAGAGAGAATTTTTTAATATTTATTTTTTAGTTATCGGCAGATACAACATCTTTTGTATGTGGTGCTGAGGATCGAACCTGGGCCACACGCATGCCAGGTGAGCACGCTACCGCTTGAGCCACATCCCCAGCCCAGCCTGGGCAATTTAAGAAGGTCCTCTCTCAAAATAAAAACTAAAAAGGTCTGGGGATGTAGCTCAGTAGTAAAACATCCCTGGATTCAATCCCCAGTACTGCAAAAAATAAAAATAAAAAAAGAATAGTCAGAAAAACAGCAAAATGGCACAAATTCAACCACATCAACAATTACATTAAATATGAATGTTTTAGATATTCCAAAAATCAGAGATTATCAGATGTATTAAAAGAAAAAAGTCCCACAAAATCTAACTACAAATGACACACTTTGGGTCTAAGGACACAAAAAGGTTGAAAGTTAAATGATAGAAAGTTAAATGTGGGGCTAGGGTTGTGGCTGTGTGGTAGAGTGCTTGCCTTGCGCAGGGGAGGCACAGGGCTGGATCCTCAGCACAATATCAAAAAATAAAATAAAGCTGTTGTGTCCATCTACAACTAAAATATTTTTTAAAAAAGGAAGAAAGAAACAGGATTTAAAACAACAAGAAGATAGTTAAATGTGCTTTGGGCATAGTAATCACCTAGAAGCTGAAGAGACTATTTTTATATGAAATAAAAAAGACTTTAAGACAAAAGAAAAATGATTGTAAAGACAAGGAACACATTTTATAACAATAAAGGGCCAATTCCTCAGGAAGCTGCCCAAATTATAAACATATATGAACATAACAACTGAGCCCCCAAATACATGAAACAAAAACTGACAAAATTAACAGGAAAAACAGGCGACTATTGAGTAGGAGAGTTCAATATCCCATTCTTATTCTTTTTTAATATTTATTTTTTAGTTTTACGGCGGACACAACATCTTTATTTGTATGTGGTACTGAGGATCGAACCCTGGCAGCACACATGCCAGGCGAGCGCGCTACCGCTTGAGCCACATCCCCAGCCCAATATCCGATTCTTAATAATGGATAGAATAGGGGCTGGGGTTGTGGCTCAGCAGTGGAGTGCTCACTAGCATGTATAAGGCACTGGGTTTGATCCTCAGCCCCACATAAAAATTAAAAAATAAAATAAAGGTACTGTGTCCATCTACACCTAAAAAAATAAAAAAATGATAATGGATAGAACAATTAGAAAATCAGTCAGAGAAGATTTGAACAATAATATAAACCAACTTTGGAAAACCCTGCCCCACAACAGAGTATATTTTCTTTTCAAGTACACATGGAACATTCTCCAGGAGAGACAATGTGTTAGACTAGAAAACAAGTCTCAATATTTAAAAGGGAGGGCTGGGGTTGTGGCTTAGTGGCAGAGTGCTTGCCTAGCATGCATGAGGCACTGGGTTCAATTCCCAGCACTGCACATAAATAAATAAAATAAAGGCTGTTGACAGATTTAAAAAAAAAAAAAAAGGAAAAAAAAAAAAAATATATATATATATATATATAATGTAATTGGTTTGTTAAAAAATTATGTGTGTGTGTATGTGTGTATATGTGTGTGTGTGTGTATATATATATATATATATATATATATATATATATATATAATTGAAATTATACAACCAAAGAGAGAGAGAGAGGAAGGGAGGGAGGGAAAGAAATTATAAAATTCAATAATGAATGTGGGCAAGTCTATGATTTGAACATTACACATTGTTTATGTGTGTGGAAACATCACATGGTACTCTTTAACCATTTAATATTTATCAGTTAAAAATAAACTGTGAAAAAGGGCAGGCGTTTAAATAGGCATGTCACCAAAAAAAAAGGTATAAGAATGGCTAATAAGCATATAAAAAGATGTTCAACATAATTAGTTGTTAAAGGAAATACAAACTATGAGATACCACTTCATATCTACTTCTAGAATGCTATAATAAAAAAAGACAGACAAGGGCTGGGGTTGTAGCTCAGTAGTAAAGCATTTGCCTAGCACATGTGAGGCACTGGGTTTGATCCTCAGCACCACATAAAAATAAATAAATGAATAAATAAAGGTATTGTGTCTATCTGCAACTAAAAATAATTTTTTAAAAAGATAGACAATAGCAAGTGTTGGGGATATAGAGAAACTCTCATACATTGCTGGTGGGAATGTTTGGAAAACAATTGAATTTACCTCATGACTCAGCCATTTTAGTCTTAGGGTATATACACAAAATAAATGCCTACACAAAAACTTGTTTGCGTGTTTTGGGCAGCGTTATTCAAAAAAGCCATTAACAAACCAAATGTCTATCAACTGGTGAATGGGGCAACAAAATGTGCTAGGGCACATTGGCAAATGCCTATAATCCCAGTAAGGCTAAGGCAGGAGGATCCCAAGTTCAAGGCCAGCCTTAGCAATTTAGCGAGGCCCTTAGCAACTCAGTGAGACCCTATCCCTAAATAAAATATAAAAAAGAGCTGGGGATGTGGCTCAGTGGTTAAGCACCCCTGGGTTCAATCCCCAGTACCAAAAAAAGAAAGAAAGAAAATGTGCTATATCCAAAAAACCATATACAATCAGCAATAGAAGAGACTATCAATAAGCCCTGAAACATGGCTTTTCAGCATTATGCTAATTGAAAGCATAAAATACCACATACTATATAATTCTGTTCATATGAAATATCCAGGAAAAGCAAATTTATTGAGAGGGAAAGTAGATTAGTGGTTGTCTGGTGCTGTGGTTGGAAATGAGATTAGACTACAAATGAACACAAAGGATCTTTTTGGGATAATAGAAATGTTCTAAAATTGGATCATGGTAATCACTGCACAACTATGTATATTTACTGAAAATAATTATGCAATTATGAATTTTACAGTATGAAATTACACCTCAATAAAGCTGTGTTTTCAAAAAAAGTCAAATTCTATTTCCAAAGTCACTAAAGTACCCTTACGTGTTCTATTCTTTTGTTTCCTCCTTTCTTCAAGAAAAATTATACTGATTCTATACAGTGTCTTGACATTGTTCTCAATTGCTTTTAGCATTTCTGGTAACATCTGCATTTGTGCTATCCAGTGGTGATGTTCGTCAATATCCATTGCAGTTATCTCAGACAAAATGCCACCTTGAAGAGAGTAAAAAAGGTTTTTTTGTGAAAAAAAGATAAATAATTATAATTACATGCTCTTGTAATATTAGGTGGCTACTCTATAGTAGTACTTTGAGATATAGTTATTTTGAACTTGTTATTCTTAGCCTTTTCTCTGAAGAAATTATAAAAAACAAAACTTGGAACAGAGGATAAATAGGAAATATTGGATATAAAAATCTGAATCAGGTTATTAAGTGTCCATTTGGAGCTGGGTGTGGTGGTGCACATCTGGAATACCAGTTATTCATGAGGCTGAGTAGCCTCCTGATCACAAGTGCACAGCTGGGCAATTTAGCAAGAACTTGACTCAAAATAAAAATTTTAAAAAGGTCTGGGGATGTAGCTCAGAGGTAGAGCATCCCTGGGTTCAATCCCCAGTACCTATGGAAAAAGAAAAGTGTCTGTCTTAGCTTATTTTCCTGATTCAGGGAAGTAAGTATCTAAAACATGAATGCATTAGTTCTTAACAGCCAAATGAAAGCCTCTTTTTTTTTTTTGTATTCTTAGCTTATTCATTCTTTAATTCCATCAATGTCTGCTCTGTCATGTATTATTCAAGACTTCAAACTACTTACATTCTAGGGAAAGGAACAGATGAAAAATAAAAATGAAAATCAGTTATATAGAATGGCAGATACTAATCTTATAAACAAAAATTAAAAAAGAAAAAGGGTAATGTAGAATGCCAGTTGGTAGGAAATGGGGATGGTCAGAGAATACCTCATTTGAAAATGATAGTTAAGCAGGGAATGAGTCATGGCTATTTGGTGGAAAATGTTCAAGGTGAGGGAATAATTAAACATGAGGACACTGGGCAGGAGGATGCTGGTCTTTTTTAATAAAAGTAAGAAAGCTGGTTTTAGTGGGACATACCTTTAATCCCAGCTCTTAGCCTCTTGCGAATTCACAGACTAGCTTGGATAATTTAATGAGATCCTGCCTCAAAATTAACTAAAAAGTGCTCGGTGGTGGAGCGCTTGCCTTGCGTGATCCCAAGGCCCTGGGGTTTAACCCCCAGTACTGCCTTTAAAAAAAAAACCTAAAGAATTTGGAATAGTTAGTAATAAGTGAATAAGCCTATATTTTTCTTGTGTTGTTCTTACTGGAACAGAGGACTACCATTCTCTGAGTAACATCCTAATCTTTTCTTCTTCAGTCTAATTAATTGCTCAAATTTTACATTTCTTTTCTCTTTTTCATTAACTGTCACTTATAGAAACTTACTCCATTCTTCCATCCAGGCCAGAATGTGGGTAAGGGTTTTTTCTCTAACTTCAATACCCTTCGAATAAGAAGCCACTTTCTCCAAAACTTTGGTTCTTCTTTTTCTCTTATATTCTATGAGAGACTTCCTCCTTTCAGTTAGTGAGGTAAGATCATCAGGAGTATAGCGGGTTATTATCCGTTGCACATTGTTCAGTATGTCAGTCAGCTGCATATTAATTTCCTGTAAGAATAAAAATGAGTAATACATTAATAAATTCTTAGTTTTTAAGATAAGCTTTGATCACTTTTTTTCCTAGCATGCCAGTAACAGTAAATAATAAAGCTGTCCAATTAAAGTCTTGCTAGTTTTATCTTTACTGTTGGTCTCAGATTTTCCCTTTTCAAAAAATTTTTATTTCTTCATCATCCTAGCAATGTTATGATATAATGGAAAGAGCATTGGATTTGAAGCCCTATTATATCCTAACTTTAATTCCTTACAAGCAATATATATATATATATTTTTTTTAGTACCTGGGAATGAACCCACTGAACCACAATTCCCAGTGCCTTTTATTTTTTTATTTTGAGACAGGGTCTTGTTAAGTTGCTGAGAATGCCCTGGAACTTGCAGCCTCCTGAGCTGCTGGGATTACAGGTATGTGCCACTGCATCTGGCCATATTTGATTATTTTATCAGAAAACTTTTAAGTATATTTGGAGAATTTGGGCATCTGAATCTTTTTCAACTGTAAATTTTATAAAATATATAAATACAGGTCAGGGCTGGGGAGGTAGAGCGCTCGCCTGGCATGTGTGTGGCCCGGGTTCGATCCTCAGCACCACATACAAACAAAGATGTTGTGTCTGCCGAAAACTAACAAATAAATATTAAAATTCTCCCCCCCCCCGCTCTAAAAATAAATAAATAAATAAAAATAAAAATAAATACAGGTCAGATATTTCTGATGAAAAACTATTATTCAATGTGAGATATACTCTAAGTACAAAATACGCAATGGGTTTCAAATGTCTAGAATGAAATCACTTGTATATCTCAATAATTTTTTAGTTATCGATAAACATTTATTTATCTATTTATTTATTTATTTATTTATTTATATGCAGTGCTGAGAAACCCAGTGCCTCACACATGCCAGGCAAGTGCACTACATCTGAGCCACAGCCTCAGCCCCATCAATAATTTTTGTATTGATTAAATGTTGAGTAACATCCTAATCTTTTCATCTTCAGTCTAATTAATTGTTTAAATTTTACGTTTCTCTTCCCTTTTTCATTAACGGTCACTTATAAAAACTTACTCCATTCTTCCAACCAGGCCAGAATGTGGGTAAGGGTTTTTTCTCTGACTTCAATACCCTTATTAAAATTTGGGGCTGGGCAGGGCTGGGGTTGCGGCTCAGCAGTAGAACATTCGCCTCTCACGTGTGAGACCCTGGGTTCGAGCCTCAGCACCACATAAAAATAAACAAAATAAAGGTATTGTGCCCATGTATAACTAAAAAAAATTTTTTTGAAATTGGGGGCTGGGGTTGTTGCTCAGTGGTAGAGTGCTCACCTCGCATATGGAGGGCACTGGGTTTGAACCTCAGCATATTAAAATAAAGGTATTGTGTCCATGTACAACGAAAACAAAATTTTAAAAAATTATTAAAATTTACTCCACATATCTCTTTTTACTATTTATATTATAGTTTATAGGAAATTTAATGTTATATACAGTTAACATTAAATTTCTTCTCAATAGTGTTATTAGTGTATATGATTAACATTAGAAAAAGTAGTCATATCAGTTCATACTTGCATGTCAAAGTGTAAGTATCCCTGTTGTTTCACATTTCTTCCAACACATGATATTATTAGATTTAAAAAGGTTTTTTGAGCCGGACGCAATGATGCACTACTATAATCCCAGCGCCTCAGGAAGCTGAGGCAGGAGTATCAAAAATTCAAAGCCAGCCTTAGCAAAAAGTGAGTCACTAAGCAACTCGGTGAGACCCTGTCTCTAAATAAAATATAAAAAAGGGCTGGGGGGTGTGGTTCAGTGAACAAGGGCCCCTGAGTTCAATCCCGTGTACAAAAAAAAAGTTTTTTTGCCAAGCTGTTGGATGTGTTATGGTATCTAATTGTAGATTTGATTTTAATTTCTATGATAACTCATGAAATATTAAGAAATGTTACTTATTTTGTGAAAATAAGATTTTTTATATTAAACCCACTTTCCTATAATTGATTTATTGACACATTAATTCATTTCTTTTTATAGATAAATGATAGTGCATCTCAGCTTGCTTAAAAGCTAGGAGATCACTTTGAATTCTGTTTTCTAACTGTAGCAGGATATAAATAAACTGGTTTTCAAGCATGGAGCCAGCCCTAATGATAATAGTACACTATTTAAAAAGACCTAAGGCAATGAATTCCATTTCCAATGGAAAAAAAAGAACTGTGCAAACAAGTTTAATGTTTTTGTGTCAATGTTATAAAATGTAGCTTTTAATAAAACCTTGACCCAAGTGCCAGTAACTTCAGAAAAGAATTTGGGTGGAGAGAAGAAAGTTATTTCATTTAGGAAAAATAACCACTACACAATTTCTGTGTACCGGCGCAATAACAAGATCTAGGGCTGGGGTTGTGGCTCAGTGGCAGAGTTCTTTGCCTAGCACATGTGAGATATTGGGTTCAATCCTCAGCACCACATACAAATAAGCAAAATAAAGATATGAAAAATACAATAATATTAAAAAAAAGAACTAGGGCTGGGGATGTGGCTCAAGCTGTAGCGCGCTCGCCTGGCATGCACTGGGTGCTGGGTTCAATCCTCAACACCACATAGAAATAAAATAAAGATATTGTGTCCACTTAAAACTAAAAAAAAAATTAAAAAATATCTAAATACAATTATATTTTAAACACCCAGGTAAGACTTTACATAAAAATACCATCCTACTTTTCTCCCTTGTTTCTAAAATATCACATACTTTCCTCAACATCTTCAGCCATCCAGTAATTTTTAGGAAACTTTTGTTCATGATCTTAATTTGTAATCCCTGGCTCTTTGGGGCTCAGTGATAAAAGTTCAAAACCACCAAAAGTGATGGTTCACTTGAAGTTAAACATGAGAGATTGTTTCAGTTAGTCTTAGGAAGAAAGCAGTGCTGCATCAACTGGCTCCATGCAGAAGGAGCACCTGAAGAATCTCATCAAGCAGTCATCTGTACAGTCCAGGTGATAGATGTGCATGTATGACAGAAATCAAATTGGATTCTCATAAACAAAGTTTGTGGTACAGATCACACACTCCTGGATCTTTTTTCTGATATATCTCTTCCTGGGTCATCTACTCCATTAGGCAGATGCTGTGTAAGGCCTACTCTTGTGTGTGTGTTGGGGGGGGGGGACTCAATCTTATTTATTTATTTTACAGTAGAATGCATTTTGACATATTGTACCCAAATGGAGCACAACATCTCATTCCTCTGGCTGTCCATGGTGCAGAGTCACTCCAGTAGTGTAATCATACACATATATAGGGTAATAATGTCTGTCTCGTTCTACTGTCCTTCCCATCTCCACAACCCTACCCCTTCCTTCACTCCCTTCTACACAAACCAAAGTTCCTTCAGTCTTCCCTATCTCCCCACCCACTATGGATCAGCATCCACTTATCAAAGAAAACATTCAGCTTTTGGTTTGGGGAGATTGGCTTATTTCTCTAGTTCCATCCATTTACCTGCAAATGCCATCATTTCATTCTTCTTTAAGGCTAAGTAGCAGTCCATTGTGTACATGTACCACATTTTCTTTATCCATTCATCTATTTTGAAGGGCATCTAAGTTGGTTCCATAGTTTAGCTATTGTGAATTGAACTGCTATAAACATTAATGTGGCTACATCACTGTAGTATGCTGACTTTAAGTCCTTTGGGTATGAATCAAAGAGTGGGATAGCTGCATCAAATGTTGGATCCATTCCAAGTTTTCTGAGTCATCTTCATACTGCTTTTCATAGTGGTGGTGCCAATTTACAATCCCACCAACAATATATGAGTGTATCTTTTCCCCCACCTCCTTGCCAACAGTAAGGCTATTCTTTAAGATATCCTAATTTGTTCTTCAATCAGCTGAGTTGCTAGGTGAGTCTGGCTAGGTGTTAGATGATAAATTAGAACCAGAACTTGTTCCTGACGTGGAAGCATCAGCTTCTGATCTGACTCCCTCCCAACACCAAAGCTAGAGTGCTCAAATTGAGACTCGTGAAGCAGGGAATTATTATCCCAGATGGGGATTTGAGGCAGTTCCTCATATTTTGAGGTTGGGGCATGCAATCTGTGCACTATTCTGACAGTCTTCTCCTTTTATTTTTCTGTTGGGTTATTTTTTTCTTTGATTCACAGGAATGCTTTATATATCCTGTGTTTTGGTATATTCTCTGTTGCTATAACCAAATATCTAAGACTGGATTTTTTTTTTTTAAGAGAGAGAGAGAGAGAATTTTTTTAATATTTATTTTTTGGTTATCGGCAGACACAACATCTTTGTTTGTATGTGGTGCTAAGATCGAACCCGGGCCGCATGCATGCCAGGCGAGCACGCTACCGCTTGAGCCACATCCCCAGCCCCAAGACTGGATGTTTTAAAAAGAAAATAGGTTTATTTAGCTCAAAGCTTTGGAGATTCAAGAGCATGGTGACAGTGAGTGAGGGCTTTGTGGCCACATCACAACATGGTAGATAGCTTCATGGTGGGAGCTGTGCAAAAGGGCTCACAGGAAGCCATCCAGGACAGTGGCATACATTTGTAATCCCAGCGACTCGGGAGGCTGAGGCATGAGGATTGCAAGTTTGACACCAGCCTCAGCAACTTAGCGAGGTCCTAAGCAATTTAGTGAGACCCTGTCTCAAAACTAAAAATAAACAAATAGTGCTGGGTCTTTGACTCAGTGGTTAAGCCCCCTGCGTTCAATCCCCAGTACCAAAAAGAAAAAAAATAAAGTGGGGGTGGGGGCTAGGAATGTGTCTCAGGGGGTAATGGTGACCCTGCATTAAATCCCCAGTACCAAAAAAAAAAAAAAAAAAAAAAAGGCCAGGAAGTCAGAAGAATATAGAGGCCAGACTAAGACTTAACAATCAGGAAGTACTAACTGGGGTCTCTAGAAAAATATATGACTCCCTTTTAAGGGTGTGCCCCAAAGACCTAATTATTTTCCACTAGGCTCTA